GAGGATTCTGAAATAGTTTATGCATACATGGGCAATATATCTCTAATTCATATTATGCATTAGTTGTTAATTAGATACATAGGATCGAGTCTATCCATCCATTTTCTACATGCCCATCTATCTAACCCTCTACCTAAACCAATGTCCAATAGCGAGATCATTTAAGCCACATACGTAATGTTAAATTTTCTTGTGCTGGTTTAAAAAACTGAAAAGAAACATGTAAAAATTAATTCAATAATATATTTTGCCTAACCCAATACATACAAATATGGTAATTTCAACATAAAGTCAACTTGAAAATTATTACTTTACATTTTGCACTTCGTTTTAAAAATTCTGTATGTGTTTTACAGTTAAAGTAAATCTCAATTTGGATACTAAACTTTAATTGAAAATATTTGATCTATATTTGCAGTTCATAAAATGTACAGTTGAAAATTAAGACTCATATGTCCAAGTTTTGCAGTAATTGAATTAATGCAATGACAATGACTAAATTTCTGATGTGTTTATGAATAGTATGATAAAGCTTCAAAATGTTTACAGAAACACAGAATTAAATATGAAATTAGGGGCCAGGAGGTGGCATGGTGGTTAAGGGCACTGGACTCCCACATGGCCGACAACAATTTGAGTCCCAGGCCTGATGGCTTGCTTTCTCACTTTCCCCCACTCCCTATCTCACTCTCTGTCTCTCTCTGGTCAAATTAAAATAAATAAATTAAATAATTCTTTTTTAAAAAAGATAAAATTAAAAATATAAATATAAACTTTATTTCTTGACATGAGTTTCCATCAAGTTGAAGACACCTTTGTAAGCAGTAACACTAGCAATTTAGTACATTCCTAAAGAACTGAGGGTCCTGGGAATTTAACCATGGCAATGTAGTATTTTTTACATTTTAAAATGTATATTTATTATTTACATTTAATCACTATACATCTTTACAGTGTACAGCATGGTTTTTCCCAGCATGAATATAGTGTCTATTAGTCACAGCAAAGACATTACCATATACATTATTATCAGCATGTTCTTTATTTTTTTAATTAGAAAGCAAAAAAAGTCAGCACCAAATCAGGACTTTAAGGTGAATGCCTCATCATTTCCCATCAAATCTTTCACAAATTGCCCATTTGATGAGAGGTATGAGCAGGATCCTGTCACCGCTGAGAAGAATTCTGTGTGTTTTTCTGCTAAAGCTTTGGGCAACTTTCTCAAAACCCTTTTGGAATAAGCAATATGGTTCTTTGACACTCCATAAAGTTAAGTAGCAAAATTCTTTGAGTATCCCCTAAACATGTTGCAGTGACCTTCGCTGTTGACCTGTCCACTTTTGCTTTGACTGGACCACTTGCACTTCTTGGTAACCATTGCTTTGACTGTGTCTTGTTGTCAGGATGGTACTGGTAAAGCCACTTGCATCTCCTGTTACAATTCTCTTTAATTAAGTGCTTGAGATCTTCATCTCATTTGTTGAACTTCTGTTGAAAGCTCTGTTCTTACATGCAGTTAACTGGGCTTAGCAGTTTTGGCACCCATTGAGCAGAAAGTTTGCTCAACTTTAATTTTTCAGACAGTATTGTGTAAGCTGAGCCAATTGAGGTGTCTATAATACAGTTCATTATTTCTGTTATTAATCATCAATGCTCTTTAATAGTGGTATGGGCCACACAGTTTTTTCCTCCCAAATTGATGTGGCTCTGCTATTGTGGATGTCATCCTTAATATCATTTCTTCTTAAAATGAGTTATGCATTTGTAAACTACTGATTTCTTTAGGGCATTTCCCCCATAAACTCTTCCTAAGATATCAGAGGTTTTACAATGCCTCCATTCAAGTTTCACCATAAATTTGATGTTTGTTCCTACTTCAATTTTAGAAGAATTAATGTTGCACTGCTGGGGCTATTTAGAGCTGATGTCTTCTCCTTCTCAAGACCTCAGAGTAGGTCCTATTCAGACATGTTATAACAGGTCTGTATGAGTTTTATTTTGGTACAAATTTTTTAATCCATGCATAATTTTTTCATACTGCACATTTCATGAAGCTTTTGAAGACCCCTTATACTAGAAATGATAGATGTATCTGACATGTACATTACATGTGATCCAATCTTGCAGACTATGGACACAACAAATTTTCCCTGGAGGACTCTGAGTCCCCTTTCTATGAGAAATCAGTTGAAATGCCTGTCCTCTTTGCAGCCAATTGGGGAGAATTTCTTGTCAGAAGCTAGAGATATTTGTTTTTCCATGTCAACGGGACCACAAACTTGGAGTCAGAACACCTAGATTCTGGATATGAGAGCTTTTGATGAAATCAAGGCAACTCAGTGCATTTGCTGCATGCGTGTGCGTGTGTGTGTGTGTATGTGTGTGTGTGTGTGAGAGAGAGAGAGAGAGAGACCTTCCTTAATTATATTCCATTTCTCCTCCCTTTGTATTATACAGAGTGTCGGAGCCTTGGCCTTCTCTGTGTGGTTAATCAGGAGATGCTATTTAACAGGCTATCAGTAGAGTGAGGCAGACACTGAACCACATGGTAATGGGAGTTCCCTGTAGAACTCTTGAGAACACAACTACATTTAACAAAGCTGCTTTCAAAGTTCCCCTATTGCAGATTTTGTTCATGTAAAGAGAGTACATTGATCTTGGGGAAGCAGAGAGAAAACGTCACCTGCTTAGTTATAAAAGGATCCTAATACAGTTAATGTAGTACACTTAATGTAACATAAAAATATAGCATATTATATATACACACTATACTATAACATAGCATGTGTGTATGTATAAAATATTATATACGTAGTGTGTACTACAGTGTAACAACTATGCACAGTAGACCAACTTTTATGTGCCAGCATCTCCGGAGGCGTCCTTCCCGCCCATCGTCCTTCCCGCCCATCGTCTCATGCAGTGCTCTTTGGCATAAGTATTAGTCCCATTTATGAATGAGGAAGCTAAAGCCACAAGCTTAAGTGAGGCTGACAAGTAGTTTCAGTATTTAAACCGAGATCCTCTGATTTCAGATGTTACATGTACTGCCTGAAAGACATTACATTAGACAAAGAGCAGAAGAGAGGTTGTCGCAGACCCTGCTGGTGTCCCACCCTCACGCCCATCTCATCTCTGAGTTCACCTGCAGCCTCTCAGCATGACAGCCTTCCCCCCTCACCAAATGGATTGCTGAGTCCGTATCACCGCCCAGGGACCCTCAGCCAATGAGAGATAGGATCTGTGGACAAACCCCCCAGAGCTCATGTCCCTAGGTAGACAGTTCTGGGGCATGATCCATCCTGTCTCTCAGAGGGCTGTCACTGGGATTGGGGTCCAGAGGCCACACCGTTAATCTACCCTCGAGTGCACCCTTTATTGCCTTGTCTCCTGGCCCCATCTGACTTCCCCCCTCTCTCACTTGTGCTGCTGTCACCACCTCCCATTTAAATGACTTTTACCCAAGTTCTTGTTTCAGGGTCTTCTTTGAGGGGTGCCCAAAGAGAAGACTAAGTGGCCCTCTGAAGATCAATTTGTGATAATGGCATGACCGTGGTTTACCATCTGGGTTCCCTCTTGGCACTAGTTATTATATTAATCCATGTAAGCTGGACTCTTTCTTCCTAGCCACGCTCACCTGGCTTAACCTGGGGGTGAGGAGCAGTGTTTTTGAGCTGGAGGAGTCTGATAAGACTGTTGTGGATTCAAAGGGGACAAGATTGTGGTTGCTGAGAGAGTGTGTGCCTTGTTCTGTCGCTACCCTCTTGGAATGTTTGAGCTCACGTTAGCGCTGATGTTCACTGCAAGGCAGACTTCAACACCGAATGTATCTGTATTACATTACACAAAGAGGTTCTTGCAAAATGATGGCAAGAAAATGCTGTATTTGGGATTTTCTGAATTTTCCAGTAGAAATATATCAATCTTTCTTGGGAAGATTTTCTCTTTTCTTTTGTGAACAGACATATCAATATTTATTGGGAAGATTTTCTCTTTTCTTTTGTGAACAGATTTATCTAACTTCTGGCAAAGGTTACAGATTCGGGAATTAGCTCTGCAGATGGAGGGTGTTAGCAATTGCACCAGTGAAAGCTCTTTGATACTGAGCATATTCATCGGCAGAATTGCTGTAAAAATCCCCTAAACCCAGGTGCAGAACTAGATTTTACCTTTAAGTGGCAGGATCAGCTTTGTGACAAAAACTAAGCCATTGAAAAAGAGAGGGGGAAAAAAGATCTAAATGTGTTAGAGGAAGAATGCAAAATGGCTGGAAGCTGACAAGTGAGCGAGCCAGCCCTCAGGTTCTAGACGGCCTGGCTGATGAATGTAGAAACTGGAAGTGAAAGAGTGAAAGGACGATGAGACCAAGTGTGCCACACAGCATCACATTCGACATGATGGCACAACCTGGCCTGCGTCTTGTTGTTTTTTCCCACCTGGGCACAAAGAGCTTTGAGCACTCTTTGAGAATATTCCAAAAAGAAGATGATAGTGCCAGGTTTCCCAAATGATCCATATAAAACGAGGAGATGACTAAAGCATTTATCCTGACTAGTAAGTATTCCAGGTGTGAGGATCAGAATCCGCTACCATGTCTTGTTCATTCAGAGGTCATCACCGAAAATGGGGCGCTCAAACCAGCGGGACTGGTGTCTCCCTGGCTGCTGCAGATCCATTCACAGCCTTGGGGGAGCCCTCTCTGTCCTTTCATAAAATAGTTTCTGAATCATGTTTCAAGTATTTTATTTTAATGATTTTTAAACATAAATTTGGAAGAATTTTACACTATAGTTCTACCAACCCACATTTTTTTTAAGTTCATTATTGATTTCTTTCAAGAGAAAGAGAGAGAAAATGACAGACATCCTCAACAGGGTCTCAGGACACAACCCTTTCCCCTTCTGCCAGAATTACCAGCACATGCATGGGTGTGCACAGGTCAGCCCAGAAACCGACCGGTCCTGTTATCAGACCGAAAGCCATAAATATGGAAAACTCACCCAGTGTAGTTTTTTCTTCCAAGTGTTCACTTCCCTTCAGTTTCTTTTTACTTCAGAATCCACTCTCCGCATCCCTCTTGTAATTATTATGTATGGTAAAGTATTTGTGGCTGTTACTTCTTGGAGGATTGATCACATAGGAGCTACTCAGCTACGTGAATTAGAATCTCCTGCACTATCATTTTTGATGACTTCATAATATTCCATTGTGAAGCTGTACCATCATTTACCTTGTCTTCTGTTGGTGATTATTTACGTTATGATCATCCTTTTCTGTTATGATAACTTTGGCATAAAATCAACTTCACTCTGACATTTACTGGACTTGGGACATAAGCAAGGGACAATATTCCTTAACTGAAGTTCACTCATTTGTAAAATGGGATAATAATAACAGTAAATATGTGATTTAATGAAACTTAAGTGGAAATAATATGTCAAACAAGTATAAGCAACAACTTAATGAAGCAGACTGAAAGCACCTAGCTCATTTCTGGCATGTAATAAATCAGTTACAAGCTCATTTGCTCTTTTTGTTGTTCTTGAGGATGTCATTATGCTGTTTACCTAAATTGTAAGTATGTAAATACTAGCCCCAGTGCCACAGGCAGTAGGAGTGCTCCTGTGCAAAGCTGGAGGCCACATGAGAAGACTCTGGGTTCTCATCCTGGGTCCACCTGAACCTGCTGGGTATACATCTGTGATCCTGGCTGGCTGCAAGGCTAGGAGAATGACCCCAGTGTGAAGAGTCTGTCAAGGTGGGAGGGGAATAAATAAATAATCTTTAAATATAAAAAATGATGAATACATGGCATGCATGTAAATGTGTTCTTCCTTTTTTATAAATATGAGGCAGACGTTAAAAATGAGCTTATTTGAGTGAAAAAATATTTAAAATCCATGCGTAGTTTTTTTTAAAATATGTATTTTCAGCAACTTTTTGAAGCCCTTCTCATAAGAATATAATAAGAATTTTTTAATGTGAGTCAAGTTGTTTTTGAGAACATTATTTTAGTGGCTGTGTAATATTCTATTAAAAAGAGAATCATTATTTATCTAGATAATCCACATTTTCAAAAAAAAAATAGGAGACTGCATATTTATATAAATTTCTCTGGGGAGAAAATCCTATGAAACATCCTTATTTCTAATTGTATCCTAGTGCATATTAGATAATGTCAACCAGATAAAGTTAAGTAGCACGTTTCAGAAGCAAGAATGCTTTTTAAAAGTACTTTCCTATTTTGACTAATAAAACTGACATCTACCTCATCCCTTTTTAAAGAAATTCAAGTGCTTCATTACCTTTATTTCATTAAGATCACCACAGCGATCCTGTGGCATGGGTGAAGGTCAAGGAGGCTTTGCCTTTTTTGTTTTTGAGAACATTATTTTAGTGGCTGTGTAATATTCTATTAAAAAGAGAATCATTATTTATCTAGATAATCCACATTTTCAAAAAAAAATAGGAGACTGCATATTTATATAAATTTCTCTGGGGAGAAAATCCTATGAAACATCCTTATTTCTAATTGTATCCTAGTGCATATTAGATAATGTCAACCAGATAAAGTTAAGTAGCACGTTTCAGAAGCAAGAATGCTTTTTAAAAGTACTTTCCTATTTTGACTAATAAAACTGACATCTACCTCATCCCTTTTTAAAGAAATTCAAGTGCTTCATTACCTTTATTTCATTAAGATCACCACAGCGATCCTGTGGCATGGGTGAAGGTCAAGGAGGCTTTGCCTTTTGCAGAATGAAGTATCAAGTGGCATGATGACAGAGTGCTCAGCCTGGGGTGGGGAAGAGCCCTTGATCTCATGCCCCAGGCTTCTTTACTGTGGAGATGGCTCAGGGCAGCCATGATTCTCTGATTGCAGATGACAGTCAGCTGGTTCGTCCCTATTCACTGAGGGTAGGAATTCAAGCCCAGAAAAATGTAGATGTCTGTGTATGAAAAGTGTAGAAAGAACATTTGCTTTCCCTTATCTCCACTCCCATGCCAAATATTTACTGAATAAATGAGTGGGGAAAGGCATTTCAGCTGCATCATCTCCTCTTCTTCCTGCATCTGTCTGAAACGTCTTAGGAGCCAGATGTTCCGGTAAACATTTTGCATGTATTATGTCTATCCAATGCTATCCTGGTGACAAACCTGTGAGATATACCTTATGATAAGCTCTATTTTCAAGACAAGAAAACTGAGGTTCAGATATTTTAACTAAACATCTCAACATCCACACGTAATATATCAGTTAAGAATTTTCTGCTTTATTATCAGAAAGGTCTGCTTGTGTCATACAGTCCTGAGCAGTGACAAGTGTATCCTTTGGAATATAGAGGCAGTCATGAGAGGGGACTTTATTCTATCCACAAGGAAGATTGTCACATGAATGGTATGGGAACCTTCACATTGGTGCATTATTTCACAGTTCTTATTGGTTAAAAAAAGAACAAGTTTTTAAAACCAGATAGAATTCTTTGAGAAAGTAGATTTAAACCAATATAGTCAAATTACCAGCATTTATTGAGCAGCTACAAAGTGCCAGTGACAGTGGAACACCTAAGGGTTACACTGGTCTGTATCGCATGAGTCTGATAGCCTAGAAATAAAGGCAGGCATGAAATGAGGCACTACAACTGTGCTAAGAGGGGACTTAAAGGGTGTGTTTGGGACATACAGGGGAGACACTCGACCTATAGCCTGCACAGGATATACAAGGATGTGATGCAATTAGAAAAGATAATAAGGATAGGAGATCTAGGAAGAAAGCAAAACGAGGAGCAGAAGGCTTCTCTGCAGTCCCACATGTGGGCTGGGGGTGAACGAGGCCGCTGTGTACATGCTATGGGTAGAGAAATGGAGGTTTGGAGCAGAGAGTTAGTGAGCCAGGATCACATTTCTGGAGTTTAGACAAAAGAGTATGGCTATGCTTTAAAAACAAACAAACAAACAAAAAAACAAAAAAACAGACTAAGGTCCAGTAGTTAGCATAATGGCTATGTCGCTGAACTCCCACGTAGCAGACTGTGGTTCTAGTCCTGGACCCAGTGGCTTTAACTCACGCCAGGTGCATGTGTATGCGTGCCCAAGATCCCGAGAGGAGAATGGAGGACAAGGGATTGTGGCATGGCCATATCCCTTGGGGGTGATTTCTCTCTTTCTATCTCTCTGTCTCTCTCTGTCTTTCTGGCAAGCGCACATGGCCTATAGCAAAAACCTCTAAAAAAAAAAAAAAAGAAGAAGAAAAGAAAGGAATTAAAATAAAATAAAATATGTTATAAAAAATTAGAGTTTTTGAGTAAAAAAAAAAAAAAAAAAAACAGGCCATACATTTTAGAGAGTATTGATTTCTATCTTAGTCAGTTTGGGCAGCTAGCAGCTATAAGCAAACACCATTGACTGGTGGCATAAACAACAAACATTATTTTCACAGTTCTAGAAGTTGGACGTCTGAGATCAGGGTACCATCATGGTTAGGCTCTTGTTGAGAGACCTCCTTTTGGTTCACAAGTAGCTACCTTCTTACCATATGCTCTCCTGGTGGAGACAGAGAACACTGGTTCCCTCAACTCCGTAGAAGGGCACTACTTCCATACGTGGGCTCTATGCTTATGACTGAATCTAAATCTAATTACCTCCCAAAGGCTCCACTTTGAAATGTGGTTACATTGGAGATTAGTGCTTCCACATACACATTCAGACACACACACTCAGCCTGCAGTGTTGTGCTCTGCCCCCACCTCCATCCATCTCTTTCTCACATGTAATGTATATCCATTCTGTCCCAACAGTCACGAAAGTCTTAACTGGTTCCAGCATTTACCCTCAAACCACCTAGTTTAGGAGGTAAATTTTCTAGATTCAGAAAGATCTCACTAAGCTGGAGCAATGACCTAAAGTGACGAAGATGAAATGAAATATAAAATCAGGATGTATAAATAAGTACAGAACCAGAAGATTTGGCATAAGAACAACTACATAGAAAAGACCAGAAAATATTCCTCAACCACAGGGTCAGTATCAGTTAGCAAAGTATCAGTGCTGTACTTCTAACAGCGACAACAAATTCACACATTTATTTTACAAAGCATGCAGAAGAAAAGAGTTGTATCTATTCCCAGATGGTATATTTTGAATGGTAACTTCCCTTTCAACAGATTTTTCCAGTAAGATGGGTCTTTTTTTTAATGGAGAAATAAGTAATAAGTGTGGGAGCAATTAACTTGATCCTTAATAAGAATGATTCAGAGCCGCATAGAAGCTGATATGCTTTTATGCTCTCTAAATATATAGTAATTGGATATTTATAACCGCTCAGACTCGCCCATAACAAAAGTAGTAATGATAATGTGTTGGTGTGGGATGCACAATTTTAAATATAGTGTCTTACTTGAGTCTCAAAATACTCTTGAGGGAAAAGCCCAATGGTGTTTTTATGTGTAGTCACTGTTCGTCCCGTCTGTTTCAATAAGGCATTAGGACAATTTACATAACTCCACATTGCACAGGATATGTGATGATGTGATGCGATTAGAAAGAGAAGGTAATGAAAGGAGATCTAGGAAGAAGGCAAAATGAGTGAGCACAAGGCTTCCCTGCAGTCCCACATGTGGGTTGGGGGGTGAATGAGGCTGCTGTGTACATGCTGTGAGTAGGGAAATGGAGATTTGGAGAAGAGAGCTAGTGAGTAACAGCTCAAAACACAACAGCCCCACTCAAATTCTGTTGTCTCTCAACTATGCTACTTTCCAATAATATGAAAAATGACACTGGTATTGGAAAAGATGCCAACTCAGAGAGAAACTCGATAGAACTATCGTTGGAAACTTCTTTTCAATTTCAGCTCTGAGCTGTGAATTGATAAGACTTCTACTCCCTCGATACTTAGAACTTTCTTAATCTTAGCAACCTGCTATTTGTTTAACATGCCTAGTATTAATCATCTGATCAGGGAGCTAAATATAATGAAGGGCACCAGACTATTATAACACTCATGCCTATCCCAAGTTATGTTTTATTAAGGTGAGTTGTCGATATTAAATCATCAAGAAAGATGGCTCCAGGTAAGTCTTCCCATCTCATCAATAACACTTTACCAACTGCAGCTCTTCAGAGACTGGACATTTACAGTGAGT